TGGTAGCAAAATCATATTGAGCATATTAAAGGAAATAAATGCTATAATTATCAATGACATCCGAGGAAAATATTTGTAAAAGTATTTTTTTTAGATCCACCTCTACAAGATTCTGCCATAAATTGTCTCGAATCACTCTTAGGGGAATATCGGTGATTAGCGTTAATAGCACTTGTATTGAGTTCAGCTCATAGCTAAACCGGACGGGATTTCTTGGGATGGTTAAGAAGAATTTACTTGGCTTTGGATTGTGTCTTATATAGTCAAATATCTGGATTTCAAAACTGCGTTAGCATGGATAATGCTTACAAGTGAAATGGCAAGCTTTTAAATAAGGAGCTCTCCGTTTTTCACGAATTTCACTCAATCCGAAACATAGGGAAAAATATGCATATTTTTAAAAATCAATTCAACAAAAAAAAAAAAAAAAAAAAAAAAAAAAAAAAAAAAAAACTAAAAAAACTGAAAAAAAGGGGGGGGGGGGGCTTTATGATCTTGTTACATGGGAAGAAATTCTGTGGATTTTCTCCGGTGTTGCTTTAGACTGAATTCAATCAAAGCGCAATTAACGCTAATCTTTATATTACCCATGAGAGTGATGCGAGACAAATGATGGCAGCACTGTTGAGGGAAGGATCCAACATTTTTTTCAGATTTAAGATTAAAGCTTTAAAAGAACAATATAATATAAGGTCTTTCATTGGAGAGGGGGGAGGGGAGGCGGCGTGATTTCAATTTCCTACGTGCTCAATAATAATAACGAGTTTAAAATGAAACATATAATTATAGAAAATAAACGAGTAAACGATAAACAAATTAAAATAAAAAGGAAATTAAATTCCATGTTTGAGTTTGTAACCCTTATTTTTTTTTTCTAGAAAGTATAAGCGTATCACAGGTTACTAATTTTACCCCTTTTCATTGACCACGCAAGTAGTGCCATATAAAAACACAGGTTTTTTCATAAATATGTCTTCGGATGTATACGGGGTGGAATGGGCTGATTTTAGGGCATAGATGGGAAGGAGAGTGTCTGGGGGAAAAGAATTAAAATTTCAAATATTGAGAAATATTGCCTTTGAATGCGTAGTAGGAAGGGTGTAAATAGGCCATGTTTACCTTCTTCTAAAGGGGTAAGTTAAATATGCAGGGTATGGGGTAACTCACGGTGTCTTAGAGGGACTTGTACACTATAGATTCTCCTTAGATTTAAAAATATTTTAAGGCTATAATAAAAAAGAAATCGCTAAATTTCAAGATAAATTTAATTAATTCTAAATAAAATTTAAATAAATTCTACATGCAAAAAGGTAGAAGAACGCGTGGTAGCAAAATCATATTGAGCATATTAAAGGAAATAAATGCTATAATTATCAATGACATCCGAGGAAAATATTTGTAAAAGTATTTTTTTTAGATCCACCTCTACAAGATTCTGCCATAAATTGTCTCGAATCACTCTTAGGGGAATATCGGTGATTAGCGTTAATAGCACTTGTATTGAGTTCAGCTCATAGCTAAACCGGACGGGATTTCTTGGGATGGTTAAGAAGAATTTACTTGGCTTTGGATTGTGTCTTATATAGTCAAATATCTGGATTTCAAAACTTCGTTAGCATGGATAAAGCTTACAAGTGAAATAGCAAGCTTTTAAATAAGGAGCTCTCCGTTTTTCACGAATTTCACTCAATCCGAAACATAGGGAAAAATATGCATATTTTTAAAAATCAATTCAACAAAAAAAAAAAAAAAAAAAAAAAAAAAAAAAAAAAAAAAAAAAACTAAAAAAACTGAAAAAAAGGGGGGGGGGCTTTATGATCTTGTTACATGGGAAGAAATTCTGTGGATTTTCTCCGGTGTTGCTTTAGACTGAATTCAATCAAAGCGCAATTAACGCTAATCTTTATATTACCCATGAGAGTGATGCGAGACAAATGATGGCAGCACTGTTGAGGGAAGGATCCAACATTTTTTTCAGATTTAAGATTAAAGCTTTAAAAGAACAATATAATATAAGGTCTTTCATTGGAGAGGGGGGAGGGGAGGCGGCGTGATTTCAATTTCCTACGTGCTCAATAATAATAACGAGTTTAAAATGAAACATATAATTATAGAAAATAAACGAGTAAACGATAAACAAATTAAAATAAAAAGGAAATTAAATTCCATGTTTGAGTTTGTAACCCTTATTTTTTTTTTCTAGAAAGTATAAGCGTATCACAGGTTACTAATTTTACCCCTTTTCATTGACCACGCAAGTAGTGCCATATAAAAACACAGGTTTTTTCATAAATATGTCTTCGGATGTATACGGGGTGGAATGGGCTGATTTTAGGGCATAGATGGGAAGGAGAGTGTCTGGGGGAAAAGAATTAAAATTTCAAATATTGAGAAATATTGCCTTTGAATGCGTAGTAGGAAGGGTGTAAATAGGCCATGTTTACCTTCTTCTAAAGGGGTAAGTTAAATATGCAGGGTATGGGGTAACTCACGGTGTCTTAGAGGGACTTGTACACTATAGATTCTCCTTAGATTTAAAAATATTTTAAGGCTATAATAAAAAAGAAATCGCTAAATTTCAAGATAAATTTAATTAATTCTAAATAAAATTTAAATAAATTCTACATGCAAAAAGGTAGAAGAACGCGTGGTAGCAAAATCATATTGAGCATATTAAAGGAAATAAATGCTATAATTATCAATGACATCCGAGGAAAATATTTGTAAAAGTATTTTTTTTAGATCCACCTCTACAAGATTCTGCCATAAATTGTCTCGAATCACTCTTAGGGGAATATCGGTGATTAGCGTTAATAGCACTTGTATTGAGTTCAGCTCATAGCTAAACCGGACGGGATTTCTTGGGATGGTTAAGAAGAATTTACTTGGCTTTGGATTGTGTCTTATATAGTCAAATATCTGGATTTCAAAACTGCGTTAGCATGGATAAAGCTTACAAGTGAAATGGCAAGCTTTTAAATAAGGAGCTCTCCGTTTTTCACGAATTTCACTCAATCCGAAACATAGGAAAAAATATGCATATTTTTAAAAATCAATTCAACAAAAAAAAAAAAAAAAAAAAAAAAAAAAAAAAAAAAAAAAAAAAACTGAAAAAGGGGGGGGGGGCTTTTTGATCTTGTTACCGGTTAAGAAGAATTTACTTGGCTTTGGATTGTGTCTTATATAGTCAAATATCTGGATTTCAAAACTGCGTTAGCATGGATAATGCTTACAAGTGAAATGGCAAGCTTTTAAATAAGGAGCTCTCCGTTTTTCACGAATTTCACTCAATCCGAAACATAGGGAAAAATATGCATATTTTTAAAAATCAATTCAACAAAAAAAAAAAAAAAAAAAAAAAAAAAAAAAAAAAACTGAAAAAGGGGGGGGGGGGGGCTTTTTGATCTTGTTACCGGTTAAGAAGAATTTACTTGGCTTTGGATTGTGTCTTATATAGTCAAATATCTGGATTTCAAAACTGCGTTAGCATGGATAATGCTTACAAGTGAAATGGCAAGCTTTTAAATAAGGAGCTCTCCGTTTTTCACGAATTTCACTCAATCCGAAACATAGGGAAAAATATGCATATTTTTAAAAATCAATTCAACAAAAAAAAAAAAAAAAAAAACAAAAAAAAAAAAAAAAACAAAAAAAAAAACAAAAAAAAAAAAAAAACAAAACAAAAAAAAAGGGGGGGGGGGCTTTTTGATCTTGTTACATGGGAAGAAATTCTGTGGATTTTCTCCGGTGTTGCTTTAGACTGAATTCAATCAAAGCGCAATTAACGCTAATCTTTATATTACCCATGAGAGTGATGCGAGACAAATGATGGCAGCACTGTTGAGGGAAGGATCCAACATTTTTTTCAGATTTAAGATTAAAGCTTTAAAAGAACAATATAATATAAGGCCTTTCATTGGAGGGGGGGGGGGGGAGGCGGCGTGATTTCAATTTCCTACGTGCTCAATAATAATAACGAGTTTAAAATGAAACATATAATTATAGAAAATAAACGAGTAAACGATAAACAAATTAAAATAAAAAGGAAATTAAATTCCATGTTTGAGTTTGTAACCCTTATTTTTTTTTTCTAGAAAGTATAAGCGTATCATAGGTTACTAATTTTACCCCTTTTCATTGACCACGCAAGTAGTGCCATATAAAAACACAGGTTTTTTCATAAATATGTCTTCGGATGTATACGGGGTGGAATGGGCTGATTTTAGGGCATAGATGGGAAGGAGAGTGTCTGGGGGAAAAGAATTAAAATTTCAAATATTGAGAAATATTGCCTTTGAATGCGTAGTAGGAAGGGTGTAAATAGGCCATGTTTACCTTCTTCTAAAGGGGTAAGTTAAATATGCAGGGTATGGGGTAACTCACGGTGTCTTAGAGGGACTTGTACACTATAGATTCTCCTTAGATTTAAAAATATTTTAAGGCTATAATAAAAAAGAAATCGCTAAATTTCAAGATAAATTTAATTAATTCTAAATAAAATTTAAATGAATTCTACATGCAAAAAGGTAGAAGAACGCGTGGTAGCAAAATCATATTGAGCATATTAAAGGAAATAAATGCTATAATTATCAATGACATCCGAGGAAAATATTTGTAAAAGTATTTTTTTTAGATCCACCTCTACAAGATTCTGCCATAAATTGTCTCGAATCACTCTTAGGGGAATATCGGTGATTAGCGTTAATAGCACTTGTATTGAGTTCAGCTCATAGCTAAACCGGACGGGATTTCTTGGGATGAATCAATGTAAATGGAAATTTGAAGGGATTATATTTAAATTATCATGCAAAATATTATGGTGGAAAAAAATCGATATAACGTGTAAAAACTGGGACAATTTAATAACGTATCCAGGAAAAAAATGAGCGCACTATCCGATTTCTGAAATTTTATAAATAAATAAGGTTTTAATTTAATTTAAATTCAGTACTTGTAGTTTTTATTTTTGCCCTTAGATCACCTTTTCGCAGACGATCAGGATGAAGATGAATATTGCACTACTAGTGCTTTTCCTGCTGCCAATTACTGTTGAAACAATAAAAGATACACCTAATCATGAAGGGAACAATCAATGTGTGACGGAAATGAACTCGTTCCGTACACTACTTAACCTTGCCTCACACCTCGTGAACCTACAGCAAGCTAATTGCAATAAAAGTGATACTGCCACATCAGCAGGAATTATGAGCAAGGAGAATAACACAGAGTGGGCTACAAAACAAGATATTAGAGAAATAAATCAGAAATTGGCATCAATTTATGATTTACTACGGGACTGTAGAAAAGGTAGCAAGAATTTGTTTGTAAGATATGTGGAAGTTTGAACTTAGTCTAATTACAGAGTTTATTATATGTATTATTATAGCTATAATATATATGTATTATTATAGAAAAATGTTTTTTCTTTATATTTATTAAGTCATATAATAATTTAATTAAACAGATATAAGTAAAACATTTTATCCGAAAGACTGCCAGGACCTGTTGCTGAAAGGTTACAGGGAAAATAATGTGTACACAATTTACCCGAATAAAGGATCTGGTTTCCAGGTTTACTGTGATCAAAAGACAGACGGCGGTGGATGGACGGTAATTAACACTTTAAATCGACTTTAAAAAACTAATATATACTTTTTGGCATTCCTGCATCAAAATACTGAACCTTAAATGAAGTATCTAATTTAAATGGGCAATAGCTGATTTTGTTTGGTTTCTCTCGTTGTTTTATCAAGGACTTTTGTATTATAATGAAAATTTAGAAATTTTTAGTTAATATTCAATTTCCTTTATTTCAGTTCTGTTTTATCGTTTAATTAGAAATCAATTTCAATGCGAACCGTACATCCGATATTAATTATGACTTTGGTGGGTCGCTAAAAGTGTATTCTGTCTTACTAAAAGACTGCAAAGATGTCCAGCAAACTATATAATTAAAAAAAAATATGTTATTTTGGAGAGAAACAGAAATGCAACGTTTGTATTTGTTTCTTAATAAAAACTAATGTAAATTTTGAAATATCAACGAGGAGATACTGGATTACTTATGATATTAAACGTATTTCTAACAAAAATTTAATTTTGCAAACTATACTGACCAAAAGGTGGAGGTGAGGGGGGGGGGGACTTCCCTAAATAATCTTACAAGAAAAAAAAATTATCTGTCCAATTCTGGATGTTTTTCTGTGATCGACCTTAGAGCAACAAAAATTGAAAGCAGGGGCAGCATCTAAAGGAAGATTAACTTTTAAATTTAATTTAGCAAAATACTATACTAGAAAAGTGTGGGTGGCTGGTCCCCCCCCCCCCCCCCCGGCTTTCTTCGGGCCTAAAGTTAACCATCTTATTTCAAACCTCGTCTTAAGTGTTAGAATAATATTGGTAATTCAAAGATCTTGTCTGTAGCTTTATACTTGTGGGTGTTGTATTTATATCGAATATTCAAACATTACTTTAATTTTTCAGAATTCAAATTAAATGTGTTCAATAAAATATTGCAAAACTTGACATTAAAAATTTAATACTCCCGTTTACAGGACCTTCTTTAGAAAAAGAGTTTATATGAGTGTGTATATAACAGACTTGCTCAAGTGATTAATAAGGATTAAGTTTAAATTTTTTGTGAAAATGTATAAGAGGAGAAACTATCCTAATGAAATGGTTATGTAATTGTTTGGCAATTTGATATAAAACATGACGAAAAGTCCATTCTAAAGAATTATTTCGTACAGTAGTAATACTATGTCTCCTCGTATGCCCCGTTCAGATACATTCAGATCCTATGAGTTTATTTCTGTATATATATATATATATATATATATATATATATATATATATATATATATATATATATATATATATATATATATATATATATATATATATATATATATATATATATATATTACGCCGAAAGGATGTACGCTGTATTTTTTTTTTTTTGAGATTAAGAGCCTTAATATATTTTTTGTATATTAAAATCTTTGAGGAACATTTCGGAAATATAAAATTAAAAGTTTCTTATAATTAAAAAGGAATTGATGAAAATTATAAACTTCAAATAATTATTGAAAACACTTTGATCTTCAATAGTGAAAACTTTGATTTACTATAATGCAAACTATTGATGCTATAGTTAACAATAGTTAACTATAGTTTACGATAGTTTTAATTATTAGGATTAATTTTTAAACACTGTTGTTACATAAAGTTTCAATTTAATTTTACTTATCAAACACGTACCTTTTTCAAAGACGTTAAGTAATTTTTTTCTTCCCGATATTCTTTTGAAATTCTCGAGAAAGGAATAGTAAATAGTATTGTGAATTCTGAAATAAGATATATTTCATTCTATGAAAGCAGTACTCCCATTCAACATCGAGTGCTGATGTATGGATATGATAGATCTAAATGCATACCTATATATTTACATAATAAAGGAGACATTACGTTTTGTTATTTTTTAAATTCTAGGTTATACAGAGAAGACGGGATGGATCGGAAAATTTCTTCAGGACCTGGAATGACTACAAAAACGGATTTGGAAATTTATCGAATGAGTTTTGGCTAGGTATGATAGACTTATTATTTTGTTTTATAAATGCGCTATATTTATTTTTATCAAAATATTCTTTTCTCATTAAATTATGCTAATAAACTAATGTTACTTGTAACTACAAGACTTAGTATTGAAAGTTTCTGTTTTCAAGTGACTTAAACATCCCATCCAAATACAACTTGAAACATCCAACCTTGTGTTTGTCATTACATTTGGATTTTGTCTGAATAACTTATTTATTTCACATTAATCATTTTACCATTTTTATATGTACCAGTACAATGGCTCTAAATTACTTATCGTTTATAGTTCTTTTATTACGAAGGGAAAGACCATAGTCCTGATGACTTTTCGCTTGAAATTAAAAATATTTAATACTGTTATCTTAGAAAATATATTAAAGAAAAAAAATAGGATCGGTAAATATTATGTATGTCTGTAGTGTATCAAACTCATTGCTCTTAAAATTGTTAAGTTCTACAATCAATTGCGTTTGACTTTTTCCTCTCTTTTTCCTGATATATATATATATATATATATATATATATATATATATATATATATATATATATATATATATATATATATATAAACAAATATCCACTTCAGCACAATTCTAATTTATCGTTTCTTTGGAGTGCTGCTTATTTTCAGTCTTTAAGTGTGTATGATATGTCTGAATAATGCGTGATTCCATCTTTTTTTGACATTCTTACCCGTCGATAGCTATATCTTATATATATATGTTATGATATATAAGCTCTGTTGCAGAAAAAAAACAAATAAAAATAAAAATATATATATGTAGCGCAACATATATAAAAAAAATCGGAGGTGAATGGAAGATCTAATCTTAATTTAACAGGCTCTGTTCATGGATTGTATTATTTGATTGGACCTGATCGTTCTCTTCACATTTCATGACTACCGCCTGAATCTCACACAACTTTTACACTGAAGCAACACCATGTCCAGAGCTGAGTCGGTAGAGCGCTAGCTCTGTGATCGGGAGGTCGTGAATTCAAATCTCGGCCGCGACTGTCCTAAGTCGATAAAAAATGGGTAGCAACTGTTCCTTCGCCATGCGCTTGGCACTTTAAAGTGAACGTTGCGGGTCCTTTGGCAGGCGTTGATAGGTCAAAATGAAGCCCTTCACCAGTATATGGTGAAGTCTCTATATGAGTGAAAAATTCTCGAATTGATCGTAAAACATCATACAATCAATCAATCAATCAATCAATCCAATAACTTATAAAATTTATTCTACAAACTGATGATTCCTTTTTAAATAACTTTCAATTACTTAAAACCGGAAGAATGATTCTTTTCATGAAAAATATAAATATCTACTACTACTCCTAATAATAATGATGAATATTACAGGGAATGAGAAAATCCACAAAATTACTCAATCAGGAAAATACAAACTGCGAATTGATATGACAGATTTTTCCCGAAATTCCCGTCATGCAAGTTACAACACCTTCAATGTTGGAAATGAGAAAGCGGGATATATTTTGCACGTCTCCGGTTATAGTGGAGACGCTGGTAAGTCCCTTGCGTCATCATTTTATTTTAATCCTTATCTTATTACGTGTTAATTTTGCAATAAATTTATATCCACTGAATATATACTCCTTTATTTCATATGACACAACTTGTCTTAATAAATTGATTAACGCTTAACTAATTTTTGTTTTCTTCAGGGGACTCATTTTCGTCTCGACATAATGGTGCCAAATTTGTCACAAAGGATCGTGATGATAAGGACTCTTGTGCAAAGGAATATAAAGGCGGTTGGTGGTACAAATCTTGTCACCGTTCAAATCTGAACGGCCTGTACTTGAAAGGAAAGCATAAATCCTATGCTGACGGTGTAAACTGGTATCACTGGATGGGATATTATTATTCCCTGAAATTTACTGAGATGAAAATCAGGAAATGAAACGTCTGAAATTCGTTCTTAGAAACCTAAATGAAAGAAATAAAACCTTTATTTGAAATAAAAAAGATAATCATGGAATTTAGTTTTGTTAAATTTTCTTATCTACATTTTCTACCTATAGCAAAAGTTTTAGCTTCAAAAAGTTCAAGGAGACTTTTTATATGAAAGATTGTCCATGTTTCACAGTTTTGATGTACTCATAAAATGATTTGAGATCTTTGCAATGACTTAAAAAGAAATCTTAGTTGATTAAACACAAAATTACCGGTAGTATCATTTCATAGAACGTGTATAGAATTCAGTGATGATTAACTCTAAAATCTGTATACTAGTAATTGCATATGTTTTATCATAAGTTGTTTATTAGTCCCCTACCAGTGAAACCGGAGGAGACTATAGGTTTCCTCTGAAGCTGTCCGTCCTACTGTCTGTCTGTCTGTCCCACTTGGTTTTCCGCACTTTTTTTCTAAACGCTTGTAGATATTGAGCTGATTTTTGGTATGTGAGTGTATTTTGATAAGTTACAGATCAAGTGTGTATTTCGTTCCGCTCCAATAATTTTTGACGGAATTACGAGCTTTTCAATTTTTCACGGTTTTGTTTTCCGCAATTTTTTTTTCTAAACTCTTGCAGATATTGAGCTGAGTTTTTGTATGTGACTTTACCTTGATGAATCATAGATTTTTATATCATAAGATCATAAGTTTGCATTTCGTTTCGCTTCATTGATTTTTGACGGAATTATGGCATTTTCGATTTTCAACGGGAACCAGATTACACTTGCCGGTAGAGGACTATAGTATTGCTAATGCAATACTCTCAGAATGCTTATTCATAAAGAAAATTCCTCTAATAGGGGAAGGAGGCAGCTTGAATCTTTCTAGGAGAGTATAAACAAAGATAGTGTAACAGATCTAGGGGCCCTAATCACGACAAATCTCTTTTCAGACTTTCAGGTTTTAAAACGTGGATAAAAAAAAAAGAAGAGATGCTGACCTTCTAATCAGAGCTGACCGATAAAGATTACTTGAGTTTGATTGTAAGTTACCAAGTACACAATGTAATTCAAAATTAAAGTATTTCCAAACAAATATTTAAATGCATCAAAAAGGACAGCATATAGTATTACGAAACGTTAATTGTAAGATGATTTTTGTACTAGAAATCTCGTTGGACCTTCAAAATTAACATTGATAGCACTTGGGTAAGCCAAATTAACGAAAGAAGAATTTGAGTAAACTATCCCGAACAGGAGACTATTCTTCATATCAATTTAATTTCAACTCAAGCTTGCCCAAATCAAATATTGTTGAAAATCTGGACAACTCATTACAGACAAAAAAAGCTTTTGTGAACATAATTGTGTGCAGTACCCTGGAATCTAAACATTAAAATGCCAACTATTATGAAAGCATTTAAACATCCTGTTGACTAACAAATAAGAAATGCATTTGAAATTGATCTAGCTTGAATTATTTTCTTTCTAAAGATAAAATCTAATCGTGAGTAAAAAAAATAGCTTTACTTCATGAAAAAGATTGCAAACTATTAATTAAATAAACGTGATATTCCAAGTAATTATATACTGATAATAATTTTGTATAACTGACATTTTATATTTTTTTATTTAAAGTGTCAAGGACATTAGGATTGAGATTATAAATCACTCTGGATAGATGAGTGTGTAGAAAAAGAATATGTTTCGAATCTTGATATATTTATTATCTATACCTTATTCCAAAAACCATTTTAAAACAAATCAGAGAAAGGTAAAGAAGATTATATTTTATAAAAAAGTGTTTATGATTTAAATATCACTTTGTTAAAAATCACTATGATTCTACATACAAGTACTTTGAACTTGATAATAAAAGATGCTGGATTTCCTCATTGACAACATCTAAGATGTTTGGAAACCGGGGGGGGGGGGGAGGGGTGCAAAAGAACTTACGACAAAGACCAAAAACTTAAGTTGATTGTAAAAATTTTGTAAATTAATTATTCTGTTTGAAATTGCTAGCATAAAAACATGTTGTTAAATTCTTTTTGAAAATATTAAAATCATTTTCAAATTAATGTAAAATAGAAAGTAATAAGAAGTATTAAATTTTGCTCTTAGTCGTAAATTCTTTTGTAAAACGGGGCCCTGGTCTTCCAAAAAACTATTTGAAGTTCGATGGGCGCTCTTGATTTAGCTTTAAGATTCCCATGAAGCAGATTTTGTCTAAAATATTTTCTACACGAGAAGAAAGCTTAAGCATCCAGACGACCTTTTATCAATAAATAGTGTCTTGCAGTCATGTGTCGACTCAACATATCCCGGTTAACTCGGAAAAGGAAACAAAACAGTGTTTGCCTCATCTGTTTCATTTAGATGCTTTACTGACTATGGACGACATCGATCTCTATTCGATATCTTTACCTTATGATAAAGCTACCATTTCGGGAAATAGCGATCAACTGGGAGATCTCGTTACTCGCGACAATGACACAGATATGCCACCAAAATGAAAATGAAACAGCATCTGACGTAATTAAATCGTCATTAAGACAATAATATTTACCTTTGGAAATGGAATTACCCCTTCATTGACTTTTGTACGGTAATATCTAGCGAATTAAACATCGCTTGGTATTAATTTACTTACAATTTAATTCATGTTTTGTTTTTCTCTTTCCATATTTTGGTTGCTTTGCTCTTGGATACACAGTAAATATTGTTTGATATAATTTGTGCGATGTTTTGTCAAGTCTGCTAAATTATTTTTTCTCAAAATGACAGCAACCTGACAGTTTGAAAAAGTCAAAATGCATGTTCTTTTTTAGCAACTGTGACAAAATATGGTTGAATTTTATGGTTTGATGGTTCATATTTCTATAAGAAATATGGATAAAAAGATATTGACTATTATGTTCAAGTGGAAATGAACTTTTGTATTGATACAAACTTTATAAGAAAAGGATTTCAGAAGCTTTAAGGTTATGAAACGGTTATGTTTAATTTTGTTTATTAAGTGTGAGTTATAGTGATTAGAAAGAAAAAAAAATAGGCACAAGCAAAAGAGTCAGAAGGTTGAAAATGAGACAATTTATTGATCTGAGGGGCATTTTAGATTATACCCCTCAGTAAGACACCAGCCCCATTTGACGTAAAGGAGTAGACTTTTAGAATTAGAGACTTCTATTTATTCCACAACATTTGTCGACTTAATATGCATTAGCACATTTTACGTTTTAGTGAAAATTTGATTTCTGTTGTTTTAAGCGAATGAAAATAACGAATAACACGTATCAAAGAATGAAAGAAGATTAAAGTTTATTTTTCATATGTTTATAAAATTCTCTCTGAAGATGTGAAACATGTTAAAGGTAAATTATAGATTTCAAATCCCTTTTTATACAAATCCCCCCCCCCCCCAAAAAAAAAATTCCTATGTCATTTTCTTATAAGGAATCCACAGCTGTGAACAGTAGTAGCCTTCCTATCGAGGGAATAACTTTCATTATTGAGCCAAGTTTTAATGAAGAGTACAGAATTGTTTCAGATACAGAGAATCATTTTGTGGAACATTTGTTAACTATAACTTCAATACTTAGTAGTTATTAAACTACATATCATATCAGTAATATTTATTCCCGTGGTGATGATTGTTTTCATCAGAAAATAAAGCACAACGGCCAGAACAACATTAATGATGTTTCTGATGCCCTGAAGAACTTAAAACGAATCAAAGATCAGAGACAAAAATTGCCTAAAGAACGCAATTCTCCATTAACTTTGATAGCTTACATTGTAGTTGACTTACCGAAAGTAAGACACACAAGGAAGAAACCAAACCCATGCCGTTACTATTGTCAACAACTAAATTGGAATTCTAGAAACAAAAAAAGTTGAATTTTGAAAACAGTAACCAAAGTGTGCATTTAAATTGTTGACCATTCTACTTCATGAAATATATGGAGATAACGAACAGTATTCAAGCTCAAAAGTCCATTAAACAATACAAAATAGGAGCAGAGCAAATACGGACTTCCAAACATCAGAGGTGGGATCAGGTGCCAAGGAGGAGTGAGCATCCCCTGCTGACCGTTCACACCCTCCGTGTGCTCCTTGTCATGATAGGGAAATAACGGAAAAATCCGTCGACAATTCAGTGTGTAAAGAATGGCCTAACAATTACTATGAAAAACGTCAGTCAGCATTTGACTCAATGATAAATTGTATTTGCTGACAAGGTCATTGTATTGACCATAGAACTTAAGAAATGATGACTTTAAACGAGATAGCTGATATTCTTGTTTCATCAACTTATTTGTCAATAATTTACTTCATCCCAAACCCTTTTTTGATTACTAATCCTAAAATAGAAAATCTTTACATCAATCTCAGAATTAATTTGAAGAAAATAGCGAATTATTACTTGTGTTACCAAATTTTCATTCTACCGTACTTTCATATAAATTCAGATAATACCGTAAATCTGGAATTTTTTACTGTAGATAAATTTTTAGCAAATTTGCGCGAACATTGCATTCGCAAAAATATTTTTCTTAAAAATAAATCACCAACAAAAAATGTAAACACTTTTGATGAAAGCTGGTGTCTATTTTTCACCTGGTGAACAGGTGTTTATAAGCAGTGGTCATTTTTAGAAACCTGTTTATACTACAAGCTAATTACCCGTGATAATCCGTGCGTGGAGTGCTTTCACTACATATAATATCATCCGATGGTTTGACAGGCAGTATGTTTCTTTTAAATTATTTCTCCAAGAAAGAGAGGCTAGTTTTTTAATGAAACAATGAATCCCTAGCACGACAGATTGTTTTATACCCTGTAGAGAATGTTTTTATCTGAAGGCTGGTTAAAGCTAACATCGTTTTATATACCTTATATACATGCGTGATTTAATAAAGTGTTATGAAAACTTTAAACACTTTAGATGTTTCATCTCTTGTAATATTTTTATCTGATTATTGAACGTTGGCATTGTTTAATA